TGTTGTGTGTTTGATGGAGAAAGTGCTACGTATTCACAGTACAAAGGGCTGTATGGGCTGACACAGGAAAGGTGCTGACACAAGCAGGTGACAGAAAAGAATGTGCTGGTCACTGTCACCCTCACCAGTCCTTCCTGGGCCCCGGTGATCTCAGCGCACCCCCACAGAAAAGGAGACCCAGCCGGGGGCACAGAGAACCCGGCTGACCGCTACTCTGCCACGGGCCGGGACAGTGCGCGCCTTCGGGACTTATCACACCTTGTGGAAGTGATAAGTGTGTCACAAAATGAAGAAAACCATCAGGATTAGAGGCCTGTGTCTCTCACCCAGCTTCCCCTGAGGGCATCACAGGTGTGCGGGGAGTAACAACAGCTATGTGACAACAGTTTAAAGCTCTTTTCGCGGTGACAATCACACGATGTCACAGCCTGTTTTCAAAATTAGATCATAAGTACCACGCCATTAAAGTTTTCGAGACCGTCCCTTCTCGGGGATGTACAAGGGTGAACAGTTTCTAGAGATGGAAAGTGAAACCATATCAAAAAAGAGGAAAAGAAAAGTTTTCCCGAAGGCTGAGAGCAAAGGGAAACAGTAACTGCAAATGTCAATTGACGCGAGAGCTCGGCTTCCAATTTTAAGAATGAGACTCACACGCACGGTGGGGATGATGCCGAGTCAGAGTCCCGTCCGCGGGCACAGGCACCAGCCACAGATCAAGGACTGGGCCGTCATTCGTGGGCTCAGAATGCTAAGAACCAGCTAAGTCTGGTTATGATAAATAATATATAAACACCTTTGCTTATTTTTCAGGCAAGACGTAGTATATGCGTGTTACCAAATGCCAGGGCCTACGGCGTTCTGTAAAAACGGACGCTCGTGACTAACAATTTAGTAAGACTTCGCTTTAATTTCGAGGACAAGAGACGGCTGAATACCCGGGGGAGAAAAACAACACACAGAGATAACGCGTCTTCGATCGCAGAGCCGTCACCACGGGCCAGGCACCGGGAGGAGCGTGTCACGCGCGCGCGTTCCTTCAAGCCTCTGCACGCGGCCTCAGGGAGGCACAGCCCTCTCACGGCTGAGGAACCCGGGGCCCCGAATGCAAGCCTCGCTCCACAGGTCAAGCCCACACACACTCCCGCTCCCTCAGCTTTGCTACCGTTAGACGTACTCGGTCTTCCAAACGGCTTGCGTAGCTCACGCACGAGGACGTGCACGTCCTTAAAACGTACCACTTGGTGAGTTTGGACGCATGCACCCGTGACACGCTCACCACGGTCAGAGAGGGAACATCTCCTTCGACCCTCCAAAGCGTATTCAGGCCCCTTCTAATCCCTCTCCCTGGCTCATCCCTCCCCTCCTGCAGCTGATCTGCTTCCGTCACTATAAATCAGCTCGCGTTTTCTGGAGCGTCGTATCAATGGAACCACACGGCATGTACTTTGAGACTCGTCCATGTGGTCGCGTACGTCGACACCTCCTTCTTTTCCGTGACCTCGGGACATTCCACGGTAGAAAGCGTTTACACGGGAGTCATGGTAGGATACACGCACCTGACACCCGCCCTGTATTTTCCCATCTCTCCCAGGGACTGAAGTCACACGGGCAAGTTTCCTCCTACTCAAAGTTCAATCTGGTGAACAGAAGGGGCTTAGAAGGATCACGCTTCCTTGGAAGTTCAGATGCTGACCCGCGTGTGTCTGTCACAAACAGACAGGGTTCCCTGGCTTTTCCGACCCAAGAGGCGCAGAGGCACCGGGCCTGGAGGCGAAGGGCACCGAACGGAGCACTGGTTACGGCTTCAAGGGCCGTGGTCAGGCTGGAACTAGCCCCAAATGCTCCCAGTGGGAACCGAGGCACCTGACGTTTCTTTCTTACCTGTGCGCGATATGGTTCTCTAAGCTTTTAGCACCAGGCGCTACAATCTTTGACTCTTGTAGTACATTTAACACCTAAGGCTTTGTTCTTAGTCCACAGATAACCTCCTGAGGACGACCGGGCACCACCAAGCACTGCAGCCGAGCACCAGGACCCCATCCAGGTACGGTACCTGCCCCCGCCGGGCCCGGGGCCAGCAGCAGGCCACGCGGCGACCTCCACGGCGCTTTCCTCGTGGGTGCAGAGAATCTACGGCTTACGTTGTAAACAGCGAGTCAACTGACTTACTCGTAATGAGACCCGTAACTTACACCACACCACGCACCCTCGACCACTCGGTGTGAACGGCACGGCCCCTCCCCGTGGCAGGCGGCAGGGAGAGCTCCCAGGCGGGCAGCCGGCCACGGAGTAAGCACACGGGACTCCACATGGGAAGGGCCGCTGCGACCGCCACCCGACACAAGACAGAGTCCGCACATATCCCGGGACAGCGCGAGGGAGTCTGGGCGAGTCTGACTCCCCTCTTCACGGCTTTCGTGTTTACGGTGTTTTTGTTTACACTGAGCATTGATTGGTTTTTACTGTGAGAAAAAAACATTTTCCTTTTTAGAAAAGATACATGGCGGGGTGCCCGGCTGCCTCAGTCTGTTAAGCATCTGACTTCAGTTCGGGTCATGATCTCACGGTTTGTGAGTTCGAGCCCCACGTCCGGCCGTCTGGTGCCAGTGCAGAGTCTGCTTCAGATCTGCCGTCTCCCCCTCTCTCTCTGCCCTTCTCCCTCTCGCTCTCTCAAAAATAAACATTTAAAAGAAAAAAGGCAAGAAAAGATACACGGCAATAAAAAATGAAGGCATTAACAACAAAAGAAAAAATAGACAAAAGTGGACTTCATGCAACTTAGCAACTTTAGGGCATCAAAAGGCACTGCCCACAGGGAAGATTCCTGCAGAATGGGACAAAACTTTTTCTAATCATGTATCTGATAAGGGGTTAATATCCAGAATAAATGGAGAACTCGTTAAACTCAAAGGAAAAAACAAACAACCAATTCAAGAATGGGCAAAAAGCATGAGTGGACATTTCTCTGAAACCATACAAATGGGCCATGAGTACACGAAAAGATACTC